ACCAGAGATATTTATGGCAGGTTGTATATATGCAGCCGAAGTACCAGTTATTATACAGACCTGAATACTGTAAATTTCACAGTTCACAAATGGTTACCCTGTGGCCTTGCAGAATTTTCTCAAAGGGAGATTTAATTATGTTCATGAGATGGCACTTAATAAGGCAGAAGCATATTGACATTTTTTATAATGATGGTTTAATATGATGAGCTGAACTAAGAAAAGGATTTTGTGGTTAGCTACAAACTTACTAAAAGATTCAAATAAACCATAACACCTCTTTCATTAAGTATTCTGGTTTTCTTTTCATTAAGTAGAGATTGTATTATAAACAGATTTAACAGGGATAGCTCACCTTGTATCATAAAGTACTTGGAAATGCTACATGTAAACCACATTTTTATCTCTTCATAAATTCCTCCGTTGGATCCCGACTTATAAATAGTCCCTACCATGTAGCTGATTGTCAACCAGCTTGGTTTAATAAGTAATCCAATTAAGTTCTATTTAAAATGTACTAGGGAATACAATAAATAGCCAGGAATATGGTGCATTCTATAATACAGAAAATACATTCTAATTTACTTCTTAAATATGTAAATTCAGCTATTAGGGGAAATGCTAGTTATTTCTTCACTTTCATTTCAAGCTCCCCACCTACAAATGCATATATATATAGAAAGGCTTAAAAACACCTAAGATTAATAAGAAGAAAGAGCACTGAGAGTAAGCGTGTAGATAAGTCAGTCTATTGTAGGTTGCTAATGAAAATGACTAAAATCATCCACCACTTAGAGTGGCACCTCAGATTGAGAAATGATTATTTTGTTGTTACTGCTAAATATATGAATATTACTACTGTTCATGTTAGTATATCAGTATGTCTTTTTTTTGTGCTTTTTTTAAATTGTGAAAATACCATACAGAGGGGTTACAATTACATGGGCAAGGCAATACCATACAGAGGGGTTACAATTACATGGGCAAGGCAATGAGTACATTTCTTATCAAGCATTGTTGCCTCCTCCTTTGTTTCCCCTTCCCACCCCTTCCCATCTTCTCCCCCTCCACCCCCGCTGCCAAAGTTGTAAAATTCGGTTTTCGACTTAACGACTTGTACATCTCATTTTTGTGCTTTGTGACCTACAAATTCTGCTTCTAGAAATTCATCCTAGGGAAACAATTTATAGAAGGATTTATATGTGTATATACATTTAAAATAGCATGAGATGGTTCCATTTTAATTATAAAATCATGAAATATTTGAAATTTCTAAAAGTTTATGAGTTTTTTATGGTAGTACAACAGAATACTTATGTTGCTCTTAAGAATTCTGATCAGCTTGGCACTAGTGGCTCACAGCTATAATCCTAGCTATGCAGGAGGCTGAAATCTAAGGATCACAGTTGGAAGCCGACCCCAGCAGAAAGGTCCCCATGAGACTGATTTCCAATCAACAACTCAAAAACAGAAAGTGGCTCTGTGGTTCAAAGTGATAAAGTGCTAGCCTTGAGCAAAAAAGAGCTCAGGGACAGTGCCCAGGCCCTGAGTTCAAGCCCCATGTCTGACAAAAAAAATTCTGACCAATGATTTCAAATTACTTAATGATTGACTCAGAGTTTAGGTGCAGGTCCATCTTACAGAAGAATAAGTTGCTATATATGTAGCTAAGTGTTAAGTGTGATTCAAGGCTGAAAGACGTATAGCACAATGGTGAAAAAAATCAGTAATCACATTTACTATTCAACAAGCTGGCACTGTAAGTCAGCCAGACAAAAAAAAAAGAAATTTAAACAGGTATAATTATGCAGGTGACTAAGTCCAAAGAATCCAAATGAGTAAGTAGAGACTAGCAAAAGACATAGCCTAAGAGTTTAAGACATTTTAGAAAACTTCAGGTTCTTTATGTCATGGCCAAAGACTGATTATGAGCATAATTTACATTGAGCACTAAAATAAACATAAAAAGACAGTATGATCACTGTGTATTGTTCAAAGCCAGCCCAGTCAATAAAGTCCTTGAGATTCTTATCTCCAATTAACCAATGAAAAGCCAGAAATAGAGTTGTGGTAGAGTGCTAGCCTTGAACACAAAAGACTGGAATAGTATTCCAGGCCTTGATTTCAAGCTCTAGGACTGGTACAAAAGAAAAACAAAACAAAACCAGTATAATTTTAGGCAGCATTAATAAAAATATATGTAGAACAAGAGAAAGATTCTGATTCCAATCAGTGATATAAAAATATTTATCCCTGGAAGCCAGGCAATGGTGGCTCAAACCTCTAATCCTAGCTACTTAGGGGACTGAGATCTGAGGATTGTGTTTAGAAGCCAGTCCATGAGACTCTTATCTCCAATTAACTGTCAAAAACATAGAAGCAGAGCTGTGGCTCATGTAGTAGAGTGCTAACGTGGAGTAAAAAAAGCTCAAGGGCAGTGCCCAGGCCCTAAGTTCAAGCCCCAGTATGGGCACCAAAAAAATTTATTCCTGAAATAAAAATCTAACCACTTTGAACTTGTGTGCAAGGTGAAAACAACAGTGAAGGAACTCACTATTTCACAGGAGCAATGATTAAAGGAACTAATATGTTTATTCAGGAAGCAAAATATTACTTAAAGTATTAAGTATAATTGGAAGGGCTATATTTTTAAGTGAAATAAGAATATTTCTGTATAACATCAGTAACAGAAATATAACATCAATAGAGAGAAGACAGTATGAGGTAAGTTAGTATGGGTCATTAAAAAATCCTTAAGTTGTTTGACAGCTTCCAGAAAATGAAGTGGACTTCTTAGATTTCTTTATACTGTTTTACACATATGGAAAATGGGTCATTGAGTGTGCCTGCTACAAAGGGGACTACCGTTGTATATATAGAAGGGTGAAGCAGAAAATATATAAGGTCACTTCTAAAATGACAATCTTAATGATTTTTTTAGGCTGAGGCTTCCTAATGTTTGGTGTGTCTGTACATATTTTTCAAGAAAGAAATCAGACTACTAAAAGTTTGGCAAAATAAAACACCAGGAAATCATAAGGGGTAAGGTGGGGTGATAGGGGAAGAGGTAGACAGATGAAGACGGGAAGAAATCCATTGCATATGCTACAAAATTAAGAAAGTAAGGGAAAGGGTAGGTAGGGGAGGGATGGGTGAGAATTTTAAAAGGAGTGACATTGTCCAAGATATATTGTATTCATAAACTGCTTTGTTAAATCATAATTCCTTTGCAAAACTACTTAAAGATAACAAAAGTAAATTAAAAAATTCTAAAAGCGAATTCCATCGTATATATTTACCACATTTTCTTGATCCATTCATCTACTGAGGGGCATCTGGGTTGGTTCCATATCTGAGCTATGGTAAATACTGCTGCAATAAATATAGTTGTGCCGGTAGCTTTAGTATGGTCTTGTTTGTGAACATTTGGGTAAATGCCCAAAAGTGGGATTGTTGGGTCATAGGGGAGCTCTATGTGAAGTCTTTTGAGGAACCTCCATACTGCTTTCCAGAGTGGTTGAACAAGTTTACACTCCCACCAGCAATGCAGTAGGGTTCCCTTCTGGCCACATCCCCTCCAGCATCTGTTGTTATTAAATTTTTTTAAAAATTACTGTTTTTTATTGTGAAAATACCATATAGAAGGGTTACAATTACATGAGCAAGGTAATGAGTACATTTCTTATCAAGCATTGTTGCCTCCTCCTTTGTTTCCCCTTACCATCCCTGCCCTCCCATTGCACTGCCTCCCTTTCCCCCCAGCCCCTCCTCCCCCCTCCTCCCCCAAAGTTGTAAGAAAATGTGGTAAATATATACAATGGAATTCTATGCCCCCATCACAAAGAACGACACTTTCCCATTTACTAGGAAATGGTAAGACTTGGAAAAAATTATATTACGTGAAGTAAGCCAGTCTCAAAGAAACATAGATCCCATGGTTTCCCCTATCTGCAATAACTAGTATATGTCTAGGACAAGCAGAACAGGTCAAAAGCTATGTACATATCACCATATAACCTGATGCTAAGCAAAATGAACCCCAAGATAGGGACACAAGAGATTTTATCTTTGTTGCTGTTTTTTTTTTAATGTACTTATAATATACTATGTGATTTTTTTTGTTTCTTTGTATGTTCTTCTCCCATGGTACAACCCCTGTTGTCACTTTATTTGATTGTGGTGCCCTGCATCTTGTATATACATTTTTCTAATTTTGGAAGGGGAAGGGAAATAACAAAATGCTGAAATAAGGATACAGGATGACCCATTATAACAATGAGATGTACCCGACAGTATGTTGAAAACAAACTTTACAACTTTGGGGGAGGGGAGGAGTTGAGGGGGTGGGGAGGAAAGGGATGGTAGGGAAAAAATAAAGGAGGGTATAAAAATGCTCAATAGGAAATGGACTCATTACCTTACTCATGTAACTGTAACCTCACTGTACTATATCTTTACAATAAACAATATATATTAAGAAAAACATAAAAAAATTCTAAAAAAGAAACAGATTACTGTGCACAGGTAGCAAACACCTGTAATCCTCACTGTTCAGGAGGCTGAGATCTGAGGATTACGTGGTTTAAAGCTAGCCTAGAAAAAACATTCTGTGAGACTCTACTTTCAATTAACCAACAAAATTGGAGTGGTTTAAGTAAGTAGAGTGACAGGTGTGAGTAAAAAGCCAAGCAAGAGACCAAGGCCCTGGTCCAGACCATAAAGAAAAAGCATGCAGGCAAGCAGAGCAGAAGTTCTAAGACTTTGTACTACTTGTTAACTAGTCATGAAGAAAAATAATCAATTATTTTAATTGATATTAGAAATATACTAAATGTTTGCATCATATATACTACTTATTTTGAGAAAACATAACTCTTTCTACTTATACAATGTACATAAGACAAAGTATATTTTGGATAAATAGAGGTAACTTAAAAAACCCACTACATAGCTTTTACATTATGCAAAACAACATTCACAAACATTTGTAGGCAAATTACCTGCTCAGGTCTTACGAACTGCTTTTTGGGTTCCTCTTCTTTAGCTGCATGCACACTTATAGATGCATATAGCAGACCTGCAGGTATGGTTGTCAGTTTTCCCATCTGAGAAAGATACATCAAAAGACTTCGTGAAAAATCTTCATTTTCATTTCCTGGTAAATTTTGAATGCATCTCAGGAACACTAGTGCTTTCCTTTAAATAATTAAAAACAAGTGCAATATTAAATACTCATTTTTAAATATAATTCTGAAAAATCCCTTCTACTGGATGACAGGACTGTATATACATTTTTTTTCTGATTGCTAATAGTCTATTTTGGAGGATCAAGATGACAGACAGTATTTCTCTAGTGTGTCATGAACCAAAGGTATAATTGGAGGTCTCTGTCTACAATAAGAGATAGGTTGAACATAATAGAGAAGTTGATATAATATTGAAACAAGGAGACAAAATTGAGCCTTGGATTTGCCCCTACCTCTCCAAATATACTTTACTTGATCCCTTTAAAAATAAATAATTAAGTAGTGCACGAGTCGCTCATACCTATAATCCTAGCTACTAATTGTGGTTAGAAACTAGCCAAGGCAGGAAAGTTCAGGAGACTCTTATCTCCAATTGGCAACCAAAAGATCAGGAAATGAAACTGTGACTCAAGTGGTAGAGTGCTAGCCTTGACAAAAAAAAAAGGCTAGGGACAGTGCCTTAGCTCTGAATTCTAGTCACATTAATATAAAAAATAAGTAATAAAATTTGTTCATTTATTCATTCATTGCTTATGTCAAGAGTCACTAATCAAAAATATCAGCACAGAGAAGTAGGTGCAGGTAGGCAAACCTTGCCTGGACAACCAGTCAGATTCTGGTTCATTCTTTGTCCCAGTGTCCTGTGGGGAGGGGTTATTGACAGAGGAGCAAGCCTGTGAACCCAAATGATTTCGATCTTGAGAGTTGTTGCATAGGACTGCCCAGTAGGAGGAGGCAAATATGTGTCTTCTGAAGAAATCCTGCAGTGAATCAGGCAAAAGACCCCTCTTGCCCAGATCCTTACAAACAAGTGGGTAAACTTGTCTACAGCCAGCACTACTTCCTGAGGGCCACTGTTCAACCAACCCCAGGGTAGGATGCAGATACATTTGATTCCTGAGAAAACTTCACAGAATCTTCACATAAGGCTTAATACATAACCATGGGCCTGTGAATAGATGAAGCCACTCCAAGATATCCGAGTCCCTTACCCTCACACAGACCAAAAGGAAAGCAAGCATGAAGCTGCTAGACACAAATCACCTGGGGTCAAGCTTTTTATCCCAAGACAAATAAAATAAAATACATAGCAAGGTACCAGCTGAGCTCACCCATTTGTTTCCTATGTTCTAAAAGAAACTATTAACTAGTAGCCTAAGTGGAAAAGGAAAAACGTTGCCATGGAAAAGCCATAGCAGGCAGGCCTGAGACATGGGTCACCTTTCAGGTACCAGGAGTAAGTATGCACCATGATTTTATTATCTGATCAAATGCTCTAGCTATGCTACCTGAGTAACTCCTGTTCTATCTAGAAATGCAGCAGTGACTGCTTTGATTTGATCACTCTTTCTCCCTCCCCTTCCCCCTCTTCTCCAGCTCTTTCTCTGATAGCTGCCAGAGGGCCTCAGAATATAATCCTTAGGAATAAACTTAATCAATCATGGATCAATAAATCAATAATTTGAAAATCACTATACTACAAGTGTCATTATTCATAAAAAGAAAAAAATGACAAAATTAATATGAAAGCAAAATGATTCCGAATAGCCAAAGCAATGGAGCAAAAGACCAATGCTGGACTTATTATAATATTACACTTCAAATTATACTATAAACACATAGTAACAAAAACATTATAAAAGCACTAAAACACACCTAAAGACCAGTGGAACAGATTAGAAGACTGAGAAGCAATTCCACCCAGCAATAGCCATCTGATTTTTTGTAAAGGAACCCAAAATGTAAATTGGTGAAAAGAGCCTCTTCAACAAATGGTTCTAGATAAACTAGACATCCACATACACAAGACAAACTGGGCCCCTATCTTTTACTCTGTACTAATATTAATTCAAGGTAGATCAAGGATCTTAATGTAAGATCCAAAACATTGAATTTACTACAGGAAATAACAGAAAAAAGCAATAGAAATTATTGGCATAGACAAGAACTTTCTTAATAGAACTTCAGTAGCTTAGCAAATAAGAGGAAGGATTAACAAAAAAGAATTACATGAAACTAAAAAGCACAGCAAAGAGGTAGAAGGGAATACATACAATATATACATGGATACCCCTTTGTGTGTAAATGGAACAAGGAAACTTTTTATTTTGCATTACTTGGAGTATAAAGCCAGGGCTTCATATTTGCTAGGCTGGTCTGATACTGCTGAGCCTCACTTCCAGCCCTAGAAAAACACTATTGAAATATGCTAATATATGAACAATTTTTCTATAACCTAACAGTTTCAGCATATAGTCAGTAGGGTTAGCCTCTCCCCATTCTTTTTATTTTCCCAGACACTCTGACTTTTACTGATAGGGAAATGTGGCATGATAGGAAAAATATATGAACTTATGAATTGCACCGATCTGGTTTTTAAGCACAGTTATGAAAGTTATTAATTAAAATTAGGCATGTTGCTTAAGATCTCAGATTTAAGCTGTTCAGTATGGTGGTCAGTAGTCACATATACTTGTACAAACTGAAAGTACATTTAATTAGAGTTAAATAAAAATTTAGTTACATTACCCCCACTTCACTTTCTCAACAGCAATAACATAGAGCAAAAGATAGCTACAATATAATTCCATAATTACAGAAAATTCTAGTGGGCAGGGCTGACTCAATTAGGTCTTAGGTTTATGTATCTGAAAAAGTGTTCATACTTTTCTGTTTATGATTATCATGAGGACTAGATAAGGAGTTATATAAAGTAGTCTGTGCTTGGCAAATAGGCAATTAATTACAGCTTTCTATTCCTTCTGATTTCTGAGTAGAGAAGTTAAGAGCCTGGGCTTATTCACTGTTTTTCTTCTCACATGTATTTGATGTTAATCAGGCTCTCATGAGGACTATAATAACCACAAAAACCCACCATGCTTATTTCCTCTAAACAACAAAAAAAGCTAAGATTTCTAAGAAAAGAAGGCATTATCTTTAACTTCTATTACAAATTGTTTACATGTATGACATTGTAACACTATATTCCATAAAAAGTACAATGAAAATTCCAATAACAAATGAAAATCAGAGACAGAGGCAAGGACTTTTCAACTCTCAGTTACAACAGCCAAGCAGGCATTACTATCTAAAGAGCAATTGCTAACAGCACTCACTTCAGCACAGAATCCATATTGGTAGATTATAGCACTGAGTTAACTCTGGACTGGATCCTGAGCTAAAAATGTTTTTAAAACACATTTAGCTAGGTGCAGGTGGGTTCATGACTGTAATCCTAGCTACTCAGGAGGCTGAGATGTGAGGATTGTGATTTGAAACCAGCCAGGGGAAGAAAAGTTACCATGAAACTCTCCTCTTCAATTAATTACTCAAAAATACTGGAAATGGTGCTGTGGCTCAAAGTGGTAGAGCGTTAACTTTGAGCAAAAGAGCTCCAGGACAGCACCCAGGCCTGGAGTTCAAGCTTCATGACCAACAAACAAATAAAAAACAAACACACATTTAAAGATTTGTAAGAAACAAAAGCAAAGAATATGCAATTAGAGACCTTAGATATCTTGCAAAGTTTCACTATCTCTTTATAGAAATAATGTAAACTCTGACTTTAGAAATTTAGGTAAGAGCGAGAGAAGAAGATGGTGGAGGAAAAGCTGGAGGCTAAATAAGCTCTCACATAGAAAGCAGTCTTAGTGTTCCAGTGAACAGTCCTAGTCTAGAGAATTACACAAGTATACCAATGGCACCATGGCAATGGCCACCGTATCAACAGAGAGAGACCAGGACAAACGTGCCAGACGTGGTGTGCAAGTGGATTCTACTCACCACCAGCAAAAACTGACAAGGAGCAGAAATCTTCATCCTGCTGATCGCAGACCAGGGACTTGCATGAGTACCCTCAAGACATCTTCACCCCTTCTCATGGAGCAGCAGTGGGAAGGTAGCACCTCCCCCACCACCAGAGAAAATCTCCATCTTTGATAATGACAAAGGCCTCAGCAATGCAGCTAGCTCCAACTCAGGCCTTGGAAAAAAACAATAGGAGCCATTCCACAAGTCATACAACCTGACCAGACCTGCCAGACTGAGCTCCACCCATGGGAAAGTTGCCCTTCCCAGATAGAGGCAGCACTGCCCCAAAAGCAGTAACTTTCTTCACTGGGTAAACAGAGCCAGAGTCTGCCCCTCCCTACTTCAGCCTAGACAGCAGGAAGGGTGAAAGACAAACAATTGAAACTCAGTAAACAGAAACCCTGAGAATGGCTCCAGGCTGGGCTCTGTGAGTGTCTCAGGGAAATGCTACTGATTACTGATAGGCCTCAACCCTACCCACAACCTAGCCTCATCACAGAAACTCCAAGCTAGAGGAAAGAGCCATCTCCATCTTTTTTGATACTCAAAGCAGATCTACCTCCCACTGAACTAGTCTGGGACAAGGATCACAAAGTCCTGGGAAGGTAGAGCTTCTTTCTACCTGCTCACACAAACTGATTTGAAAAACCAATCAAGCCACAGGAAAACCAAATACTACAGGCAGACCAGAGACTCCATCAAGAGACTGGTTAGGGACACAGAGGAGATACAAGTTCTTCCCCCACCTCTCCCCAAAAAATAAAAGAACTCTTTTTTCCAACTTTAAAATTTTTTTTAAATGTTTTCTTCCTTCATAATTTTTATTTTAGGTGTGTGTGTGTGTGTGTGTGTGTGTGTGTGTGTGTGTGTGTGTGTGTGTGTGTGTGTGTGTTTAAAATCTCTTTTAATTTTTTGGCCCATTTTTTTTCCTTTCTTTTTTCAGTGATTTAATTGCTGTTCTGTTCATCCCCAGATATATACCCGTCCTCGATGATTAGATCTTATCCCTCATTGTGTACATACTTAATTCAGAAATTTATTACTTAATT